TAAAAGGGGGGTCGCTAATAAAATTTTCTCCCCTGTAAAGCTACCGATTAAAGTCCGTCTACCGCTAGTTAATAAGTTGTTATCGATCGCGTATTGTCTCATAAAAGGTCCGATGTCGTCGCGCGTAACGTCCGTATTTTTAAAAATTGGTGTCATCTCACTAAAATGTTCTCTTAAACTATCCGGTACTTTAATGTCGCATTCTATCAGTCCAAAACACGAGTCGTCTAAAACAGAATCGATGATCTGTTTTTCAGTCAGGGGCCATTTCTTACCATAGGTCGGTGTCGGTGTCTTTTGCGATTTGTCAATAGAGTTTAAATAGTCTTTAATAGTTGGGTTCATTTTTTTCTGGTTCCCCCACTCACATTCCCACATTTCTACGACTTTAACGTCAACAGTCTCGGTAAGGTACTTCGTAATTTCGTTTGTCTTTTTAAATAACTCAGTCAAGGGTCTGTTACTAATGGGGTTTACTGTTCTGTCTTTAGTTAAAGGGCAGTCAGGGTGTCCATGAAAGAGGCAGCCATGGAACTGATAAACGGTTCGACTGTTCGCGTCCCACCCGTCTACTCTTATATGGCGAGATCCTAAGCTAACTTCACCCCCGTTAAACGCGGTTTTTAAAGTTACCCCCTGTGTTTTTGAAACCCACGATAACCACTGAAAGGCCTGTTCCCCATAATGATTCGTTTTACGCGGTCTAAACCCCTCCTCACTATTTCTAATAATCGGAAATCCCGTCGGCATTTTTTGCGTTAAAGACCATAAATAAAGCGATTTCGCGTCGTACCCCTTAATTGCCTGTACCACCTTTTTACTATTCCCCCTAATGAACGTTTCACCCTTTTCGTGATGTCTATGAAAAATAATGGAGGGGCCCCCTACGATATTATTTCGGATTGTTTTATGTAACTCTGATTCGCGCTTGGAACACAAAGAAAAAGAAACGTTTTTGGGCAGTGTTTTGAATAAGTATTTTAAAGTTACCCCCGGGACAGAAATCGCGTCTTTAAAAATATCAACCCCTAAATTTTTGTAAAAATTAGTTTGCTGCTCGAGCGCTTCGATAAACGGTTTTACATCGATATTGTTATACCAAATAAGATAATCTTTAAAAGTTTGCATCCCCTTCTCTACCCAAATTTGCCTACACGACGCGTACTCCTCATCTGAAATGTTACAATTTTTTAATGATGAAAAAAAGGCCGAATGCGGAGGTAAAGACTTTTCATCTAAGACGGCTAAATTTTTTACATATTCATACGGAAAAAATCCCTTGGTCTCTTTAACATTATACGCGGCGAGATATTTACTATAGCTAAACCCCGGTGCTAGATAATAAACTATATCTAAGAACTTTAATTTATTTGTTGATATACACATAAAATTATTATTTCTTTTAACTACATATTTAAACGGTGTTTGTTTATCTTCTACGTCGTCTTCATCATCGTTACAACTAGATCTAGGTCCCTCCTCTAACCCCTCTTCTGTGTTTGAATAAGCTAAAAAGTACTGAATAAAATACGGTTTAACGAGATTTATATCATATTTTCCTGAATTAAACCCTATAACCGGCATTTGTCGCAAATATTCGTCTAATCTACCGCTAAGAAACCTATCAAACCCTTTGTCGTTCGACTTATTATCACTACCCCTAGCTTTAGGTGGAAATAACTTCCTGATTTGCTTAAAAACAGGCTCGAACTGTTTTTTCAAAATTCCATAAGCTGCCTCGGCGATTATGTGGAGTCTGTCAATAACTCTAGTCACTAATTCTTTAGGGTCACCAGTCGAAATAAAACAGATGGGTTCGACGAACCCATCTACGTTTGAGGCGACAGAGCAAGACAAAGGCACGTGTTTGGCAACGCTTTTTGTAACTCTACCTAACGTGGGTAACTCGGTATGGTCGAAATAGCATTCGAAATCGAAAGTTGCTCGGAAGGGATAAACAAAGTTACTATTTACAACTACCCCATAGGACGCTAAAAACTCCCAGATTGTTTGGTGTGTCTGATAAACCCCTCCCTTATACCTATCTACTGGTTTCCCCCCATTACACCCTTTCACGTGTCTGTTCAATTGTTGAATGGTGGGCCATAATTTGTTACACACAGAACACGCGAAAGAGTGACCCGCCCCACCAATATTATTAATGTACATAAACTGATTTTGAAAAACTAAAAGATACATGGTCTCCCTAAACCTATCATTACTTCTAAGTTTCGGACAAAGGATCTGGTTTTCGTCAAATTCAAAAATCTCAATATTTACACTAAAACAGGACTCTAAGAGGGGAATTTCGACCAAACTAACCCCGCTAAAATTATCCAAGGTCCCGAGACCTTGGTGCGCTTGCCACTGTTTCGCGAGATTTAATGTTGGCTTTCTAAGATTTATTATGGGTGCTCCTAAATGTCTGGCTAAACATCTAAAAAAGGAAAAATTGTCTGTGTAGGGTTTGGAATTTGAATCCTTTTGTAACATGTTAATGGCGTGATTATGTTTAATAAAGTCAGGGATGTCTGTGAGAAGGGGTGTGGGTGAAGGTTTGTCTGTGGTCGTGTGTAAGTCTACTGCATCTCCCCTAAGTTCGTTTACAGGAAAAATAGTGGTGTGTGAATTAAGGTTACTGTCATTGTTAGTCTTTACGCGTTTGTTGTTTGATATGTCGTCATACGTCGTATGTCGTTTTAAGGGGCTAGTGTTGGTCGCGGTACGAACTGTTTGGCTCGCTGATGGGAGTTGGACAGTATGTGTGTCGATCACCAATGCGGGTTGGTGTTTTTGTGTATCGATCGATAATGTAGGTTGGTGTTTTTGTGTGTTGGTTGCTGATGGGGTGTCGGTCGGTAAGGTTTGGTTGCTGTGTGCTTTCTTATAATGATTCGTCAAATTGTCAAGTCGTGTAAATACTTTCCCGCATGTTGTACAGGAATGTCTTTGTCGGCCGTGAACAGAGTCGTGATGTCGTGTCAAATTTTTTTAAGGCCGAATACTCGGTCACAGATCTCACACTTGTGTCGGGTCATGGTTGGTTGGGTGGTAGGCTGGGCGGTTTCCATTATTGACGAAGTGTCTACTGTGTGGATCAGTTGGATACTTGGGTAGGTCGCTGGTTGTAGAATAAAAATAAATACATAAAATAAAAATCATAAAATAAAATACATACTTAAAACAAAACAAAACAAAATTAAAAAATGAAACGTACCTATGGGTTTGAACGTCTAAGCTTAACGTGTAGTTAACTGTATGTGGAGATCCGAAGTGGTGTAGTTGGATGTCGTTGGATCCTTTGGTTCAGTGGATGCTTAGGGATGGGTAGGTAGCTCAATAGGGTCAGTGGATGGTTACTCTATCTTGTAGGGTCGGTTGTACACTAAAAAGGAATACAGTTGCCTAATTATTTAGATACATAATTATTTAAAGGGTATTTTAATGGTGTTAGTTCCCTTAAAATAAACGTACTATTCACCTTACCTCGGTGTACGATTCAAAAGTAAAGTAATTAATTAAAAGGTATTTGAATGGGGGTTAGTTCCCTTAAAACAATACGTACTATTAACCTTACCTCGGTGTACGATACAAAATTAAATACATGTGCGTACTTATTTAATAAGATTTGATTTTAATAGGGTTAGCGCCCATAAAACAAAAGTAATATTAACCTTACCTTTAATAGAATAAACACGCACAAAAGATGTGGTCCGTGTAGGGTTAGGTAGATGTGATGCTTGATAAAGCTGGCGTGGGTTTAGTCTCAGGAGTCAACAGAGGTCTCATCCAGGATAAGTCGCTGTGACGCTTGATTTGAAGTCCGAAGTCGAAGTGTTTAGAACACAATTTTCGCGGTCATTTATACGGTTGCTCAACCTAATTACACCACCAGCTGTCGCACAACAGGTGTTGCATAATGACCTACGTACTTCGCGGAGCTAACAAAGCGATCGGTAAAATCGATTAACGTGGTAACAGGTGTTCCCACACTTAACGCTAGCTTCGCGGAGAGGCACTTAATGTACGTCGTTAATTACCATAACCCGTCAACCGAGCGGGGGAAACTCGGTGAAGCATAACAAAAATTTAATTAGGTGTGATGGCCCCGTGGGTGCGATCAATACATTCCCATTAAAAAAACGCACAGCCCTGAAAACTTCGCGGGCGGTCGATACGTAACAGGTGTTACATGTCTGGTTAATGGATGTTATTCACAAAGTACAACTAGCACACCCCTACCCTCAAACCCATCATTACTCACCCCTCCCCTCAACCACCCCTCTCCGTTTACTATTAAACATACATACAAAGAAATCAAATAAACAAACCCCTTGCTGCGCCACCACCACCACCCCCAGGTCACCACTACTCCCCCTCTCCCCCACTCTTCTCCACCCCCCACCCCCACTGCTCCACCACCCTCTACCAGGTGGTGGAGAATTTTACTATATGTCTTTGTACATCCACCCCCACCCCACCCCCAGGTCACCACCACCACCACTCCCCCTCTCCCCCACCACCCCACTCTTCTCCACCCCCCACCCCCATCACCACTCCCCCTCTCCCCTCCCCCTCTCCCTCCCTCCCCCTCCGTCTGCCCCAGGCTGGGAGTATTTTACTATATGTCTTTGCGCCACCCTAGGGAGTATTTTGCTATATGTCTTTGCGCCACCGGCTCCTTCACCCTGCGAGTATTTTGCTATATAACCTTTGCGCCACCCAAATAATAATCAAAAGTGACCTAATATACTACTGTTGTATGGATGTTATTACAGTTAACTCATAAAACAGTATTAAAAAAGTGTGTTTTATAAATTATACCATTACAAATAATTTTTAAAGCAGTATAGAAAAACGTGTTTTATGAATATTGTTTCACTTAATTAACTCCAGGCGTTTACAAGAAAGCGTGTTCATGAATATCGTTACATTTCGTGCTTAAAACAGCTCAAAGTGTTTTCTAAACATTGTTTACATCTAACACTTGAGCCGGCACCATGGGCCTGGAATACATAAACGGAAGTCAACTGTGCTCGACCTTGTACAACATCTCCACCTCCTCACGCAAAGAGTACGGGATCAAACCCCAGATAGAAATGTACGAGGCTCTTCTGATTATAGGCGTGACTGGTGTACTAGCCTTCATGCTGGCCTGGCTCTTCTCACTGTCCAGGAAATACATCTACAAGGACGAGGTAATTATATGTCTTAAGCTAGAGGTCAAGGGCGAGGTAAATATATTATTAAACTAGAGGTCAAGGGCGAGGTAAATATGTCTTAAACTAGAGGTAAAGGCGAGATAAATATATCTTTAGTTAGAAGTCAAGGGCGTGGTAAATATGCCTTAAACCAGAGGTCAAGGGCGAGGTAAATATGCCTTAAACCAGAGGTCAAGGGCGAGGTAAATATGTCTTAAACTAGATGCCAAGGACGAGGTAAATATATCTTAAGCTAGAGGTCAGGGCCGACCGCTCCCGACAGAGCTCTAGGGCGTGGGGATTCCCGATGTAATATTCTAAGAATGTTTGTAAAGAAAATAACAGATCAATTATACATTTCTTTTTATACAATTTTTATTAAAAAAAATAATCTCATTTACGCTTTAGGCTTCAAATTTGTTCGTACATTCAGGAGTTGATTCTATTGATCAGCTTCCGGTTAATGATGAATTTGACAACTTTCGGTTTTTAGACTTCCGCCCTCGAGAACGTCATGTGTGGTAAAACGATAACCTTCACTAAAGACTAGACGGAATGATCTGTTTTAAACGTGACAGTATAGAATAATTGCCTTCTGTCAGCCAGAAGTGTTAGTGTTTATAATATTTTACACATAATTCATTTCAATGAAATTTTCAATTAATCGAAAATTTGTATTCGTTGAAACTGGTTGAGACATATTTAAAGAGAAATATTAATGTCACGACCACAAAGACACTGGGTTACTCTATTCCAATATCAATTACATTTTTTTTTACTTTAAAAATATATGTAAGAAAGTTGTTTTTTTTCAAGATTTTATTTTTTTTGTGTTGCATCAAAGCAGGAAATCAAAGATTTGCTGAATAAACATAAAATTATTTACATGCGCATTTTATATTGAAAAAAGTTTCTAAACTTGGTAAAAAATATATGATAATGAGATCTCAATTTAATGAAATAGTATTTTACTGTAAACAAAATCGAATCTTCTAATAGTTAGCCTTTTTACTTACTCGTATATACGAAGTATAGAGAAAGTATTGTAATCGTGCAAAAAAAAAATAGAGGTTTTTGCAAATCTCGACGTTATACACCCCCTGAGTCAGAAAAACATAATTTTACAATCATGTCCGTATGTCTGTGTGTGTGTATATATGTGTTTATGCATGTATGTATGTGTGTCTGTAAACACGATAACTTGAGTACTGTTAGAGCTAGGTTGATGAAATTTTATATATAAGTATTATACCAAATTAGTAGATCCGTGTAAACTTTTCAGCGATTTCCGATAAACGGTAGTGGAACTTTTTCTACTTTCAATTTTTCAAAAGCCTATAACTTTAGTACTATAGCAGATAGATAAATGAAATTTCACACATACGTAAAATGTCTAATTCTCTGCATTCTTTCAAATTTTGAGTAATTTCCGTTGACCGGAAGTAGTAATTTACGCTATTTCCGAGTTCTCAAAAAACGCAACCTAATTTATAAAGTACTAATAATAATAATATCCCGCACTATTATGTACATTTTACTTGGCGTTCACTTGTCCAATTGTTTTTTCTACGACATTCTATTCTATTTTAAAAAGTTTAAGTAATTAAAAATGGATTTAAAATATTGTCCATTTCCCGAGTTGCCATCCCCGGGAGTGTTATATAAGAATATTCGAGAAAGTTTATTTTTTTTTCATGATGCGGCTATTTCATCTCCCAAACATCTAATCGAAAACAATCAATTACAATTTAAAAAATAGAAGAAGTAAAATTTATTTACTTAAGTAGCTTAATTAGCTAGACAAACGATACCGCTTTTTAATTATCCACCGCGCTGATGAATATGTTTGTCGCCAGGTGGTTCTTTTGTATTTTTCACAACCTACATCAAGCAATTTGGTGGTGTGTGTTGTCAGAACGTTGCTGAGGGGGGGGGGGACGTCTGGGTAGGAGCGATTGCACCCTCACTGAGCGCCATAATAACAGTGGTTTTAAATAAAGTTGCAACCATTTAGGGACATCGTGGTCGTGTCGCTTTTAAACACTATACAACACATTTTTTTTGTTTTAAAAAACATGGAATAGACATTCGCTTGTTTGTATATATATATATATATATATATATATATATATATATATATATATATATATATATATATATATATATATATATATATATATATATAAGTTTGCGCTTGTGAGTGCCGGGGCGTAGCTAGTGGAGGGAGGGAGGGACAGCGCCCCCGGTGTAGAAAAGGGGTAGAAAAAAATAATTTAAAAACTCATTTTAAGCTGAAGTGTTGATTTATACACAGTCAAAGTTAACTAGAGTCTACAAGGCTTTACACACTGTTTTAACGTTTTTCTACATAAATTGTGTGTCACCAAAGTAAACAGTTTTAGATGATAGTGACTTGTAAAAGTCACCTCTTACCTTTCAAACTAGTGGGGGGGGGGGGGGGAAGGGGGTCGCTTTTTGCCAACATCAATAAATATAGCGTATATATAAATGGCGGGAACAGGGCATTTCCCCCCTGTCAATTACCCCCCGGATATTTCCCCCCCGACATTACCCCCCAGAGTAATTACCCCCCCTGTCAATTACCCCCCTGTCAATTACCCCCCGCCCAGTAGGACATTACCCCCCCCCCCCGGACAGGGTTAGGGTTAGGGCTAGGTTTAGGGTTAGGGTTAGGGTTAGGGTTAGGGTTAGGATTAGGGCTAGGGTTAGGGTTAGGGCAAGGGTTAGGGTTAGGGTTAGGGTTAGGATTAGGATTAGGATTAGGATTAGGATTAGGGTTAGGGCTAGGGTTAGGGCTAGGGTTAGGGTTAGGGTTAGGTTTTAGGGCTAGGGTTAGGGCTAGGGCTAGGGCTAGGGCTAGGGTAAGGGTTAGGGTTAGGATTAGGATTAGGATTAGGATTAGGATTAGGATTAGGATTAGGATTAGGGCTAGGGTTAGGGTTAGGTCTAGCTTTGGTTTTGGTTTTGTGTGAAGTTTCAGGCTAAGGTGGATGTTTAGGTTTTGGTCTTTTTCTTAAGGTTTGGATTAAAGTAGTATATAGGCATAAAATTCTAGTTAGGATTTTAACTTGAGGGGGGGGGGAATTCCCCGGGGGGGGGGTAATTGACAGGGGGGTAATTAACAGGGGGGTAATTGCTCCGGGGGGGAAATACGGGGGGGAAATGTCCGGGGGGGGAAATATCCAGGGGGGTAATGTCCTGTAGCCATAAATGGCCGAGGGACGCGCAAAATTTTTATTTCGCCCCAGGCGCCGAAATAGGTAGCTACGCCTCTGCGGGTGTGCATATGTAAAGATAATAAAACCCAGCCTACGATACTCTAGTGTAGGGGTTCCCAACCTTTTTTTTTACTTTAGAGCACATTCTAAAATATCGGTAGGGTGGCGGGCACCACCTATTTTAAATCGATAAATTCCTTCCAGAGGCGGAACGACCCTTCCCGTCACCCGGGGACAAAACTTTCGATTTACACCCCCCCCCCCCTCAAACTTTCGATTTGCACCCCCCCCCCCCTTAAACTTTTGATTTCCATTCCCTTCAACCTTTCAATAATGTTTATGAAAATTTTTTTGTCTCTGTCGAATAGTGAGAGGCGGGCACACACGAGTCGTTCGGCGGGCGCCATGGCGCCCACGTGCACAGGGTTGGGAACCCCTGCTCTAGTGTATAGTCTATCATTTACACATTATTTTTCAATTTTCAAAAATAAATTGACATTTGTGAACTATTTTTGTACTTCATAAAGCAGACTTTAAATCACATATTTCTTGAACTAATACAAAAATGTCTAACATTTTTAAAATTGTAATTAAAATAGCACTCTTAAACAAGTAATCGCAATTCTATTCATCCAATAAACTTGGTTATTCTTCTTTAAAAAAATTCTCCAGTTCTTTTTAAGGTCTGAATTATTTTATGCCTTAGCCTCCAGCTTTATACTTCTCTTCTGTATTCTCTCTCTCTTTCTCTTTCTCTTTCTCTTTCTCTTTCTCTTTCTCTTTCTCTTTCTCTTTCTCTTTTTCTTTTTTCTTTTTCTTTCTCTTTCTCTTCTCTTCTCTTTCTCTTTCTCTTTCTCTTTCTCTTTCTCTCTCTCTCCGTCTCTCTCTCTCTCTCTCTCTTTTTCCATTTCCTCAATTAATTATTTCCGGTGCTTTTGTTGTTTTGTCTGTAGTTATAAACCCTATATTTTCCTTTATTTTTTTGGCTTTGAGCTTTTCTCTTTCCTGTTTCGGTCTCCCTGATGGCATGTCGTTTCAGAGATGTAAAGTTTTTCGTTATTTATTCTGTATTTGATAGAGCTCGTCTTTTTCGTTCGTTTGTGTGTTTCTGTTACTTTGACTATAAATGAGTTGCTTGCTGTGTGTTTTGATTTGTAGAAGCTTCACCGTAAATATATCTTTGATTTGTCATGTAACATGTCCAATGACCAGCACTGGTAGTCTTGGCGCCTAACTGGGCACCAATTGATGAGCAGTGTTTCTTCAGACTTTTTTCTCGGTGGAGGGGGGGGGCACTTGATATTTTCGAGGGGGGGGGGGGGGGGGGGGCGGACAACATTTTCCGGGGGGGGGGGGGGGGGGGGGGGGAGGGGGGAACCATTTCCCGAGGGCGGGGGGCGGGACACTGGTAACTGGTAAAAGTATATGTTTTCTATATAAATTCGAATTTGTTCGGGGGGGGGGGGTGCGGTAGACTTTCTCCTAGAGAGGGGGGGGGCAGAGATATTAGATGCTTGGTATTGAAATCAATGATCCAATTATTTAATTGCATTATAATCCTAACCCTTATTTTGGACCTAACACAATAAGCTCCCCCCCTCCCCCCCCTACCCCGAGATGCCTGTAAGAAACTCTGTTGATGAATACGCGCTGCCATCTCCCTGGAAACTATTCTCTGAATGTCTCGTGCTAGATCTGGGGTTCTTCTTTGACCTGATCTTTGTAACGGGGTTGCTTTAATTTCCGTTTGTTGAATTGTCTCAGGTCTTTGCTGAGTGTGTGGTCCCTGTTTGA